CATATGAGGGCCAGTGACACTGCCCCAATTCCCCAATAAAAATCTTTAAAAAAAAAAAAAAAAACACGTGGGGCCGGCCAAGTGGCGCGTTGGTTAACAACAGCTCAACCTGGAGCTGGGCTGCCGTGAGTGGCTGGCTATGGTGTAGGCTGCAGTGGAGCTGCAGTGGGCTGCCATAAGCTACCGTGAGTGGCCAACACCTGGCAAGAGCTGCCATGAGCGGCCATCCAATGGCCAGTGATTGACTGCCTCACCCGGGAAGAGCACAATGATCATAATACCAAATGGGCCAGTGAAGCGACGTCTTCCACAACTAGACTGAAGAACAAAAGGACAGCAACTTGTTTGTTCCCCTTTCCCGATTCCCCAACGGTGTTCCCCTTCCCCAATCCCCCAATAAAATCTTAAAAAAACAAACAAACAGGGCCGGCTGAGTGGCGCATTGGTTAAGAGTTGGCTTGGGAACGCGGGCTCTGAGCAGCAGGGCCCCAGTTTAGATCCTACACGGGCCAGTGACGCTGCGCCCTCTACAGCTAAGATGGTGAACAACAGTTCGACCTGGAGCTAGGCTCCCATGAGTCACCGGCCAGCATGAGTGGCCGGCAGCCGGAGTGAGCTGCCGTGAGCCGTGGTGAGCGGCCGTTCAGTGGCCGGCGAGCGATTGCCTCACCCAGGAAGAGTGCAATGATCACAATATCAACATGGGCCAGTAAAGCGACGTCCTTCACAACTAGACTGAAGAACAAAAGGACAGCAACTTGTCTATTCCCCTTCCAGGATTCCCCAACGCTGTTCACCTCCCCCAATTCCCCAATAAAAAATCTTTAAAAACAAAACAAACAAACAAAAAAACATTGTATTAGCTTAGGGTATTAAAATATATATATAGGGAAGAGAAAGGGTAAAGTATTTCTTTCAGCCTAACTATCCATGACTGCCCTTTGCCACCCCTTACATCCCTATTCAAGAGACAAACAGGATGTAAAACCTATGTCTTGACATTGATGTCTTAGTGGGCACTCAGACCTCTCTCTTACCTGGGATGACAGTGGACAGTGGATGGCATGTAGAATACATAAATGAAAGTCCCAAAGGAGACAGTCACAAAGGGAAAAGTCCATGTGACTAGGTGAATAATTAAAAATCAAAGATGAAAACAATAATACAAATAATTGGGGCAATTTCAAATCAAGTGTGAGCAATTCAAGTTGATGGGGAGGTGAGGGGAAGCTGTGGCAATGGTGATCATGGTGAAGTGATTAAAATAGTGGAGCTTAGCAACTATTTTGGATACAATTTGGGGGCTAGTTAGAGGGAAGATCAATGAGGATACGCTTGGCCTAGACCTATAGGGCCCACCAAGAGGCCTGTCTCATTAGATTGTAAAATTGATTACGTGAGAGAGGAGGGTACAGAAATAGTGAAGGAAATAACTTTAAAACGCAACAAACATAGTCACTATTATGGGATTTGGCTTCTTCTTTCCTTCACTTCTTTTCTTTTCTCTTCTCTTGCTTTTGTCACTTTAGAGCCCCTCATTCACCTTCAGGATCCTCTTTCAGAAATTTTCTTTGCTCATCCCAGCCTGCAACTTCTTCCACCTTTGTCTAGCCTTTATCCCGCTATAATTTTCCACTTTTCTCACTATGCAAACTAAATCCTTCTAGCCCATCCTAAATCCATTTCTCAAACATTTCCCTATAAACTCCTCCGTCACAGCTCTTCTCCAAGAAACCAATATCCAATTTTCCTTTACCTATCAACACATCATCAAATCTTCTTTTTCCTAAAAATGTTCCCATCTCCCTCTTTATCACTCTTCTTCGTGTCCTTTAGTCCTGGTCTCCATTTTCATCTAGTAGCTCTTTATTCCCACTCTCTTAGGCTCAGATGCTCCCCTTTCTTCTCTCATATTTACTCCTTTAGGGTCAAAAATGTTCTGCTTGGCTCTAATTTCTCCTCTTTGACTTGAAATACTTCCTCTATCTGCTGCTCTTTCCTTCTTTAGCTTTAATCCTTCATCTGCTTCTTTCACCAATACCTTCATCCAGAACCTCTTTCTCTTCCATAGAAACAGATTCATCAGTACTACTCACTCCACCCAAGACAGCCTCATCTTCTACCACTTCCTCAGTCCCTTCTAATTCTTCATCATTCCCTTCCATCCTTTCAAAAGGAATTTCCATCTCAGCATCAGTAACTTCTGTTATTCTTTCATTACCAATAACTTCTACCACTCTTTCAGTTTGCTCTTCATTTATGCTCCCCATTCTTGAACCCTTCAACTTCTCTCCACTAGTCCCCAGCTTCTCCCTACTGGATCCCAGCTTCTCTGCACTTGACTGGAGTTCATCTCCAGTGGATCTCAAATCTTCTTCACTAGCCCCCAGCTTCTCTTCCCTGAACACCAGCTTCTCTCTGCTTGACCTCAGCTTCTCTCTACTCAGCTTCTCTTCAACCAGCTTCTCCCCACTTAGCCTCAGTTTCTCTCCACTTGACCTCAGCTCCTCTTCATTTTGTTCTGGTTTATATCCTCTGGCTCTCATGTCCTCTCCATTGGTCCCCGCCCCAGTAAACCTCAACCTCTCTTTAAACCCAGACCCCCTCCTAGACCCTGTTGTAGTCCCTGAACTCTGGGATTCAGTCCCAGTTTTGCGGGTGAATTCTTGCTTTCCTCCTTCCTTTGGGCTGTCTTTCCCCAAACCTGCTGAAGCCTGTAATGCATTCGATACACTGTGCTGTAGCTTCACACCCATCCTTTCCTGACTCAGGCCTGCCTTCTCTTTCAAAACTGTCTTTCCCACATCTTTCAGTCCCCAGTACTGAGAATCAAGCTTCGGGTCCCACATCCTAGGCTTTTGTGTGTTTCTACCCAGGAGCTCTATTCTCTTCCCAATCACGATGAGCCCATTCCAGGGCATCCACATGTTTTCTCGCAATATCTGTGCCCCTCTGCTTCCTGGCTGCAGTTGTAACGACCCGCGGACGCCGGCTTGGCCTTGGGCGCCGTGGCCGCGGGCCTTGTCGCGGCCCCTCGCCGCCCTGTGCCGCATACTCCGCCACTCCCTCTTGTCCCAGAGTGGAAATCCAAACGGAATCCCTTTCTCCATAGACATTACCCCTTATCTTCGTACCCAATTCATTATCCCCTCCCCTTCTCCCCATTACCTACCACCCACCAACCCACCCCATCCTACCCTGCCTGCTGGCCCTCCGCCCCGCCCACCGCCTGGAGGGCTCGAGACTGGGCTAACGCGCACGCGCAGGCCGCGCGAGGCTGTTGAAAGGCGCGGCCCAGAGCGCCGGCGGGCGGGAGTCAGCCTGGGGATGGGGCTGACGTGACCTGAGACCTGTGTGATCCAGAGCCCCCGATCCCAGCCCCCATCCTGTGGCTTGTTCCGGGCCCCCTGGGTTCCGCGATTCCCCTTAAAAGCTGGGGCCCAGGCACAGGAACGACAGGCGTTGCAGCCAATGGCGTACCGAACGATAAACATGGTACCCAATCAAAAGGCACGGCTGCGAGGGAACCGGGTGGGAACCACGCCGGACTCCAGGTGATTCCTTGGCTGGGAGGGGAGAGTGTCTCGGTCAGCTGATAGGATCCTCACTCTGGTTCATCGGGGCGAGTTACTGGGGACCAAGGTGCGGGAACGAGCGGGCAGTGGCCGGCCGCGCAATCCTTGTGTGCTGCAGCCGAGAAGGAGAGTGATGGAGGAGCATCAAGAGGCTGGGAAGGAGAGCAAGGTAAAGATTAAGGATGCAAAGCCCCTCCCAACCTCCACCTCATTCCATTATATCCAAGGCTCCCCAATCAGGGAAGAGAGAGAGAGAGAGAGATCGCTCGCAGGCGCAGCAAGCGGGTGGGGCGCCTCTGTGGTACCTGCATGGGGACTGGTGAGGATGCCAAAAGAAGCAGGGTTTACCATTTCCCTGACAGGTGGAAAGGGACCCCAGCGTCACTCATGCTGGCTTGATGGGGAAGAAGAGGAGGGAGGGATATCAGGGATTGAGAAGGAACTGGAATACCCGTCTTCTTTCCCAAGGTGGGAGGAATCCTGTTGAGCACTAATGGCTTCACTTGAGTATCTATGTTCATATACTCATAAGACCACTAATTCTTTATTTTTTCCTCTTGACTTCATTCAACAAAGTTATTGAGTATCTTTGTACCAAGGATGGTTAGGGGCTGGACACACAGAGGTGCACACTGTTGGGGCTTGGAGGCATGTACCGTATTTGCCGGCGTATAAGACAATTTTTTGGCCCTGAAAAATATGCCTCCAAGTGGGGGGTCGTCTTATACGCCAGGTACACTTCAGATAGACTNGAGGAGGAGGAGGAGGAGGAGGAGAAGGAGGAGGAGGAGGAAGAGAAGAGGAAGAAGAAGTAGTTGAAGAAGAACAACAACAAAATTGCACTTATAAAGAGCAACACTTGAAAGTTAGAAGGTAGTGGGGTAATGCTTTTAAAATTCTAAGGGAAAAACATTTCCAACCTAGAATCCCATACCCAGCTGTTGGGAGCCATGCAGGCTGGCTTTAGTGATGCATTACTTGTTTTGCTCCCTTTTGCACCTGGAGGATGTTTACTTAACACTGAGGTACGTGGTGATCCTTGGGAGACACAGAAGATTTGTAGCTATCTGGGTTAATGGAAGGAAGTGTTCTGGGAGGCTTACCCCCTAGGGTTCCCCTGACCTTTAAAGTATCTAGTAGATAGTTAATGATCTACTTTTGAAGGAAGTAATGCATGTTTATCCCTTCTGTTTTGCACATACCCTGGATGTATATAAGGGTGTTGGAAAATAAACTCGGGGCTTCAGTATTTACTGGAGTCCTCCCGGTAACTCTCCTGTCTCTTTTTTAATCCTAACGCCCCCCCCCTCAGGACCGTTGGCAATATCGGCTGGCTCCGATCCCAGCTAAATTATCAATCAACTATGAGAGAAAAATCAATATTTTCAGACAGATAAATTGTGACAAAGTTTACCTTTCATGGTCACTTTCTCTGGAAGCTATTAGATGATGTGGTTGACCAAAATGAGCCTGTAAAATAAGAAAGAAGATCTAAGATCCAGTCAGCAGGAGATCTAACACAGAAGAACAGAGAGAAATATTAAGAAGCCAGGGAGGGCCAGCCAAGTGGCTCAGTTGGTTAAGAGCGCAAGCTCTGAGCAACAGGGTTGCTGGTTCGATTCCCACATGGGCCAGTGAGCTGTGCTCAAGCTGAGCTGCCGCTGAGCTGCCAACAGGTGGCAGGATGGCTCAGCTGATGAGAGCACGTGCTCCTAACAAGGCTGCCGATTTGACTCAGACATGGGATGGTGGGCTATGCCCACCCACAACTAAGATTGAACAGGGCACCTTAAGGTGAGTGGCCACAAGCTGCCGTTGGGCGGCTGGATGGTGACTGGACTTGGAGCTGAGCTAGCTGCACCCTCCACAACTAAGTTTGAAGGAAAACAACTTGGCTGTTCCTCGTTCCCAATTCCCCAACACCGTTCTCCTTCCCCAATTCCCCAATAAAATCTTAAAAAAAAAAAAAAGCCCAGGAAAGTAGCTATGGAGCAAGCCTAGAACATAGCCACCACACATTAGACCCAAAGGACAAAGGACTCCAAGAAATAAATTGCCAGGGAAAAAATGGAATTGATAGACTTCTATTAGGTTTGACTATATAAACAAAAATATTGTACAGGACTTACAGATCTTTAGGAGCCTGTAGGGAAAATTAGCAAAGGGATGTAGAAAATTTAACAATTAAAAAACACGTGGGGGGCCGGCCGAGTGGCGCGATGGTTAAGAACTCGCTTGGGATGCCAGAGGGCCCCGGTTCGGATCCCACATATGAGGGCCAGTGA